CAACTCCCACAACTCTACCACACTAGTCAAAAATATTACACCCTGTACATCGTACCATTACCCCACCCACTCACTTGTACCATTTTTACAAGATCTTACAAAGGTGCCACCTCAAACCCTCTTTATCATCATTCAAGATATAGTTCCAACATACCCCTGCTGAATCAGATGCCTCCTCGTCGTCCTGCCAAAAAAAAAGTCACCTCCCCCTGTCACCCACTCTGGACCTACCACTCGTGGGCGCCGACAAAAGAAGAACAAAGTCGAGGATGATCAAGATGAAACAGGTATGTAGCAACATTTTTGTAACTAACACTCAAACAGCCAAACCTACAACAATAACCAATGGTGTAGCTTGGCTGACTTTTTTCTCTCTTTTCTCTCGCATCACAGATCAATCCGATACATATCCACGTGACTCTGAAGATGATTCAGACAGTAGCTCAGGTATAAATTCTTCAGACAGTAGCTCAGGTATAATTTCCTTCCTGCTCTACTTGGATGCTACACAATGACTGATTAATGTGTTGCAAATAAGAAGCATCGACAGTCGAGCCATCCACACGCCCAGCACCCAAGAAGAGGCAAAGGAGACGTACCAAGGCCAAGAATACCCTCACCAAGTTACCTGACAATGACAACCTGGTAATTGCTGACCCTAGCATTGAAGCCGTAGATGAAGATGGCCTGCCGCTCCCAAAAGACCCCACAACAACACCAACACTCCTTAACTACAGGGAGCTCGCCGACGAATGGACTTCAGACGAGCTCGAACACTACCTCCAATGTACAAAATCTTTCGCTAACAGCAGAATACCACCTGACATTCTCAATGAAGCCCGCGCCCTTGAGGATGAATTGGTGACAAGATTAAAGGTGTTAAGCATTGCAGGCGGTGTATCATTTGATACAATGAAATATGGGATGTTGAGTTAATTTTTTCTTGTGATTAATTTGACTGATCCAAACTGACCATTGGATTTAACATCTAGTCATCGTGCAATTCGCCTCAATGAGCAAAAGCCATACCACATCTTCCGCAAGTTTAGCTTGGCTGCTACCGTCGACAACATCAGTATGATTTACTTTACAGCACCTTTCAACCTCACGTGGTATTATTAACACTGACAAGGTTTGACCCCGCTTCGACCTCTAGTGCCACAGACTGCGCCGCGCCACCATGCCGCAGATGAAGATGACTCGCCGGAACCACGCCTCCTTGGCACCTACAATGACAAAGTAACTGCCGCGTGGAAACAAATTAAGCATACTGAAGATGCCAAGATCTTCAGCAAAGACCTCTTCAGCCGCCTAGCACTGGTAGTATCCAACGAGTCCTTCGATCTCAGTCCTCACGAACACCTTTCTATTGAAGAACAGGAGTATTTGCCCGTATTTCACCAGCTGGTTAATATTGAGAAGGTGAAAAAGGAACTAGCTTTGAGTCGCCACCCTAATCAAAGTGCAAGGTATACCCAAAAAGGAATTGCACAAATTGAGCACATCCATTCCAGCGTATGGAGTATTCAATTTGCGTCTTGATCACTGCCCTTTTCACTAATGTATCAATGTGAAACTGTTATCTGCAGCTCGAAGCCGCCCATAAAAGTTACGGCATGCACTACCATCTCATGGCGGCGTCGTGGAACCCCACCACCACGATGTCTTCAGCAGCGTGGTCCAAAGAATTCAGCTCTGATCGGGTCTACCTCACTTCCTTCTCCGCACCAAATCATCTTCTGGAACGCTTTGACCGTTTTACAACTAGACGTGGAGGTTCGAGCCAGAAGCAAAAGCGCACAGGTCTCAGTTCAACCGATCAGCTTCGCAAAGACTTCACATCAGCCTTGAATGGCCTTGTGTGTAAGTGCACTATATTCACGGACGGATCCTTGGTTACTAATCCACTTTTGATTTCCTACTTTGCCAAAAAGCCAATCACCTCCAACACGTTACGCCAAATCTCATCAAACCTAGAGTTCATATACATCCAAAACAGGGCCAGTGTCATGTTTTGCTCAGGCGAATCAGCTTTCCCAATGATATCCGCCTTCAGGTGCATCAGACCAGTGACTCAAAGGTTACCAGTGATATGCTTTCAGCTGGACCTGCATCTATCATGAACGACAAAGATTTGATGCAGGTATGGTATGACAACATCTTAGCCCGCAGATATACGGTCACTCTAGTCAACAAAGCTCCTGCCCCTTCGAACTGATGAGCCATGAGCAATCTGCTGCCTATTTTAATTTGTACATATCAAATTGGCTGGCTTTCGTTAATGAAAATCTTTCCATTATGTGTAGGACACAACCAATTATAGACAGGTCGGACAGATGAGAGTTCGAAGTGTGAACATAACTGTCACACCCTGAATTCACGGTGCCAATGACCGTTACTTGAGCTCGTTGACATTCAAAGCGCATCAAGAATGACCAGACTCCTGTGGCATCATCAGCAGCCACTTGCTGGAAGCAGTACCACTCAAACAGTCCTATTCGAGTGATTAATTAACGAGAAATAGTCCAGGGCCACGTCACAGATGTCCAGCACGTGACAGTGCTGCCTGGGAACCCTTTACTGTATCACGGGCTATTACATAGCCCGTGATACATTATTGAAGACCGCAATGGTTAGACTGGATTTGGCGTCAAATGAACCAACCCGGGCCAATACCCATTCAATATTGAAGCTCACTCACATCTTTTGTTGTATCTCACCCAATTACAATAGCAAAAACGGACGACAACATTCCCATGGACCCTTGTTTCGACCCATTGCGGCCCTGCCTTGGCCTTCAATGTTTCAAACAAAACCTCTTTTCGACCCTGACTTGGCGTTCAACGTTTCAAAAGAACCATCTTTTCAACCCTGACTTGGGCTCCAACGTTTCAAATGAAACCTCAATTGGTTCCTTCATCAAAAGTCTTCACCGTGGCGATTTTATTATGACAGGGCGAGAAAAAAGACACCTGATGTCTGGTCATCTCGATTCAGGTGCAATTCAAATTTCATACTTTAAAAACTCAGTTTCCCACCTTCCACTCTGTCTCAACTCTTCCAACTGTGTGTGACCTGACCGAACTTTTTCCTTTCTTCTTTAGTTTTTGAAAAGACATCCATATCTCTCACATCTCTCAAGCTTGTTCATCCCGTTTTGATTTACTTAGCTCATCAGAGGCCCTCTCTCGATCTTATACATCGTCATTTGATTCACTTTACTCTCAAGCACCATTCCTCACCAATTTTGTTACCTTTACTTATACTCGTCTCAAATAATCATCATCTTTGCTGTAACGTTTCAACAAAAATCTTATTTCATATCAATTACTCAGTCCCCAGTTCCAGTTTTGGTCGATTTGACAGACGTCTTTCACTCTTACTCCCAAGGATAGATTTACTCCCAAGGTTCGATTCATTCTTTTCCACCATAACTTTTGTGATATCTTGCATCAATCTGGTTGCTGAAGGACTGGAGAAAAGACAGCATTCAGAGATATCTGGGAGTGGTTTCCTAATGAGGGACGAAACACACCCAACGTCTTTGTTGCAAATATTTTCTCCAGTCCATGGGCACAGGTGATGTCAAGATATCATCGTTCCAGGAAATTATGACAAAAACTAAGCTGACCATCCATCCTATCGTCTGCACACGGTGGAGCAGGACTGATTCAGTTGTTGAACCGGCGCCACGAACCATGGATAACTCAGATTTCTCAAAGAAGAAGAAAAAACGATCAACAAGTAGTCAATTGCACAGTAAGCGACACAGTAACGCACGACATCGCCTGCGCCCCAATCCTGGTCCAACCAATCATTTGCATCGCAGCAAAAACCGCACCACGCAATTCGACGCCCTTCGTAAAGAACTAACCGAAAAATTAGGACTCCCCAGCGACTGCCGACTTTATTTTATGAAGAAATATGATATGGATAAGCTACCGGATACTCCTCGCTTGAAAATCACTCATCACAACTGTGTAATTCTTGACGCTGAAACGTGGAAGGTCTTGCAAGTGATACGATTCACTCCTTTCTCAGAAATGTCTGACGAGCAAATGAAGCAAATGAATTTCACAATCAAAACCATTTACAACCATGCTTTGGCTCGATCTACCGTCAAAATCAATCATGCCATGAAAGGTATTAAAGAACCTGGCGAGATGTATGCCACTGGCTACAGGGGTGCCTCAGACAAAGGACGCAAATTTGGTAAGTCATTATTATTTGTGATTATGATTCGCTTTGGACAATTCAAAATAATGATTCTTTATTTACCATTCGATCCGCAGGTGTGACTGCTCTAAGTGCCAAGACTTCCAAGAGCTTGGAAGCTATTTCCAAAGACGAAGCGAGGATGGATGACATGGCCGTCATCAATGACACACTTGCCGAGTGGATGTCCACCTTATGCATGCGGGCGTTCCAATCGAACCGCGACCTTGCTCTCGATTTCTCAATACCTTCTTTTTCCGATAAGAAGTGGGCCGAATCCCCTAATGCCAATGTCATCGCCTCTAGCATCGCCGTCACTCGAGATGGGTTCAACAATAATCCTCATCCCGATTTCGATGCCACCCCTTATGCATATGGTTTGTTCTCCAGAATTAATCGCGCCACTGGGGAACTTCATTGGGTCAAAATCTCTGAGTATCTTGGGGACATCGAAGGCTGTTATTTCATCTTGGATCAATATCATATCGAGTTGTGTCTGGATGCATGTGACGGGGTAGTTGAGTGTTGTTGGGCATCTGATGAACTTCATCACACCTTGGCTTCAACAACATACGACGAAGGCTGGTGCCCGATACGGCCAAAAGATTCGCCTATCACCCGATTTGGCTGCTCACTGCAAATCAGCGCGGCATTGGTCAAACGCATTGAAGGCCTACTGAAGATGAAGGAAGGTAAAACTGACGTCGAATGGGAAACATACCAAAGATCAGTTATCAAGTGCTATGATCAGGAGATTGAAAATAAATCGTCCAAGTTCCATGATCCTAATCGGCTTCAGATACCTAAGAAAACCACGAGAACGAGAAAGTAGCACTCATCTCTTCAGGTTCTCTCTTTTCACAATTTCCTTGTATCGGTTTCCTGGCCTTTTGTCTCTTCATGTGTCTTTCTTTCACTGGTGCGGTTGAAGAGTGGAATCTTGGTTTGTTACCTTTTGTCTCTGCTGCCTCGGAGCTTCATGTGTTTCCTACATCCATGTAAAGCATTGAAGTCAATTCAATAAGGGTGTTAATAAATGTTGCGCGCGTCGCGAAGTTTAAATGTTGTAATGATCCCCTGCAACGTCTCAAATTGATCCTTGAACATATAAATATAGGAATTACACCATATTTATAGGTGAGATGGTGTCAAAGCAAATACAAAATGATTTTGAAGTTGAACCAAATTGAAGCGCCATCAATTTGGCCAGTAAATGTTCAGTAGTTTATAAAAACTACTGGCTTGAGGTCTGATGTTGGCCGCGAGTGAGCATCACTCGCCCTCATACATGACTACAGGTGGGTTTAACAAAATGCCTTCCCACACAACCATCATCTCATGCCAAGCATGTTTCTTGATTTCATGGACGCACAGCTTTGTTTTGATATTTCCTAACCATCAACAATATCATCAAGTCAAATGACCAACCTACTGCCACTCATTATCAACACCACGAAGAGCCGCGCACTCCATTCAAACAATTGAATACAATTTGATGGGTTGGTTACTTGTCATCAAATATATCATGAGAATAAAAGATCTTCAGTGGTCCGGACTATTTGCACACAAGTGTGACGTTACATGGTTTTGTATGTACACAGTCCGCCACCAAAATATCATTTTGGGAGGTGTGAATAAAATATATTACAGCTTTGTCAAGCTTAATTGACCCAAACGCACCCAAAACGGTATTTCATGACATGGAGTACAACTTTTCAGATTTCCGTTGTGAAACACATCGGAATCCTCAGCAAGTTGAATATACCTGTGAAGAAACAAAAGTGGTATTAAGACGGATGGTCTCTTAAGTTGAAAATACCTGTGAACAAAAAACACCTGAGTAAAAAAGCCACGTACACAAGGTTCACATGGGTCGAGATTGCCAAATAGCGAAGGACAAAGGTTCGATGAAGTGGTAATCATCACGGATGGTCTCTTATATTAACAAATGAACAGTGCTACTGGATGGTAACTTATAATTATGATGAAGTGGCTGTCGGAGACTGCCTCAGAAGAAATATATCTCCTTGTGAACTTATGACCAAACGGTTACTATTGATTTTGAGGCTGGAATCTGCCGATGCAGCCGATGCCGATTGAGAATGGATTTGGGAGTCAAATTGAAAGGAGATAAAAGGGTCTCGAGGAGATAACAAAGGAATGTATTGAAGCTATGCAAGAGCAAGGCTGATATTCGCAGTCCACCATATTTCCGAAACGGCATCAATGGTTTGGACACATGTGACCATAACAAAGCCATTCATGCCAACCTGAAGAAGATTGGCATTCAAATTTATGCCAATGTTCGTGGATCACCAGAAGGAACATTAAACATTTGAATGTTCATCGTTCCTTCTCAAGGAGCGTTCGTGGATCATGGATCAATGATACCTGATCCACTGATGATTGAAACCCAAGATCATCGATCATCAAAAATCAAAGTTCCATATTGATAATAGCAAGTGCATCATTCTTTCCTCACTTACAGGTGTCTTATTCATTTCTCCATGTGCAAATGCAGAATTCGCTGATGATGAGTTTATTGGCCACATCATCCTTTGAATTAAGTTAAGTTATATGTGGATCAAATATATAATATATATATATGGTTCATATATTATGTTCATGGATCAATCACCATATAATTGGCATCAATATAATTTATTGAAGGATACATCTTCCTTCAAGGTAAACAAAACGCTGGTCGTGGTAGGATTTCACTGCGGGAGGTAAGTCATATTGTTTCAAAGATCAAGATCCTGTATCTATTCCTAAGTGGATCACTGCAGCTGATTGATGGCAATTCATTGTCCAAATGAACCATCACGAACAATCTTTGTTTATTTACACACAGAGCAAGTCATATGCGTAAGTGACTTGCTCTCCACTTGGTTGCTGCGATTAAATATATACACCTATTGATCGTGGGTTTTATCTTTTTGATGCTTCAAGGTTCCCATCACATCCATCCATCCGACACAATTCAATCGAATCATCTAATCAAATCATCTGGTACGATTGTAAACCACGGTCTTTGTTACTTCCTTCACAAATTAATATTTCTCAGTTACTCTTTCTGTTTCTTTGAAACTTCCTCCACGCACACAATTGTTATTTTTCCGGTTCCTCTTCCTCATAGGATTATGTCAGATTGTGGCTACGCATCAGACCAATGGGCCAACGGGTCACAGAGCTATTGTCGAACTCCTTCGCCAGGTCGACAAAATATTTGGTCAAGCAACCATCTTAAGCCGTTGCAGGATGTAGAAGACATTATGCCTGATGTTCAACGCCTTGACCTCGATAAAAAAATCGATTCTGAGGTGTATGACTCATGGTTAGATAGTGTGTGCAAAGGCATCGAAAGGCTAACCAACAAGGCCGATTATTTGCTACAACCTCCTCCAGTCCTGGGGTCGATTCAAGATGTTATAGACGACCAATGCGCCTATGCAATCCTCAAGCAATCCGTGGATCCATGTATGCATCAGTGCCTCAACTCTGCTTCAGGGCAAGCACATGATGCCGTTCGCTGGGTTAAGTGGTGGATTGGGATGGAGTAGTGACTCAACTTCGTAAGTCACACACACCAAGCATTATCACAAGGCCCTTATATCACCTGCTGACAAACGGTTCAACCTCTATTCTTAGGCCACTTTATTGACCATGTACGTCATACCCACCTCTGATAGTAGAATTCATTTGTTTATATATTCAGTTCCACTACTAACAGGATACAAAATTCACTTGACATTGTAGCTTCGAACCGTAGCAATGTGGCATATCATTAATTCGTTGGCCACTATTTCAAACGTAATAATGTCACTGTTGATACAAATCAAAGGTCCATTTTTGTGAGCGGGAAACAGATGAAATATATACATCTTTAACTTCAATTCCATGAGTTTTATCACGTTTTGCACTCTTTCAACACTTTAAACACTGTCGATACAATTCAAAGGTCCATTGTGGCGAGCGGCTAGCTGTTATACTTGGGATATATACATCTTTAAGTATGACTTGTTGTTTTCTTTGTGATGATTTCATACTACCTTTTGATATCTTTATACACCTAAGAGACATCTTCAATGTTTCTTGGACCAACACAAATAAAACAACAAGTAAAATCAAAACAAAATTCTAAGAGTTATTTCGCTTAATAACACTTAGAACAAAAGGATGACTGATGAACTTTTGTATCCTTTAAAAGATCATCATTAAACCGAAATTTGCCACATTCTTAAGGTCAACCGGATGCAATGAAATAAAGTATTTCCAAAGTATCAACATTTGATTTAAACTTTTGAGCTATAGTAGCGGTCGGAATCCAAACAGTTTGGATGAGATCAAGACATATGAGAAGTCCTTCTTCATTCTTCATAAGAAAAGTAAAGGGGAAAGCAAATTACTATCATCATTGTAATTGAAAGGAAATCCCCCAAATTCTTATCCCCTCAAATTCTATACGTTTATAATTTTTGGTGTCAGCCCTGCCCTGACTTTCAAGTACATGTCACATATGTGTTATTAATTTTGGAAATAGTTCAATCTCTTTCTTTCCAGATAGAGATTGAACTTGTACTCATCCTTGTATTTCATATCACATACTTATATACCAGTCGTACGACTAGCATCATGCCTCGATTTGTTGGGGTTCATCAACCATTCAAACCCAGAAACCCATACTGGAACAAGCCCGCCAAAACCGGTCTACAGAAAAAATATTTTCAAAAGATGAAGAAGGCTGTAAACGCCCGCAAGAAGGAACGGGTTAGAATTAACAATAATTCGAATGGCGATGGTCAAGGCTTTGATTATGAGGACATCGGACTTTTGAATGATATGAATAATGAAGAAGGACGTCCATTTGAGATTCCAGACTTTATTAATGATATTCACGAAGCGATACTTGAAGCCGAAAGACAGGAACGGCAACTTGCACTTGAAAAAGCATTACAAGAAATGTTTGTCGCTTATCTGGAATGTGGAATGAAGACAAGTGAATGGGGCAATCCTACGACATGGGAATTTGATCACAAATCACAATGTCGATGCATGCCAAGTCAATGGCGAGAAAGGGATGTAGATCTTGTTGACATATTAAGTGAGTTTGAAACTTAGCTTTTGTCATTCTCGTTTTGGTCCATATCATTTTACTGATCGATACTCTCTTCAATGGCAGGTCGCCGGAAGGCTCGGATTCGGTTTTGTTCCTGTCACCGAAGTGATTTAACCCGTCTAATTCTCATGGGATACGTTGGAGGCTCGCCCAAATACCCACAGACAGCCTTTTCAATCAGGCTTCTTCGATTCTTCCATATTATGTGGAAGTTCTGTACCGTCCGAATTGACCCTTTTGTTCGAGCCCTCGATGGATTCCTGGATGCGTTCAATCCATTGATTCTTACCAAAAAATAATCAGGTAAGTTGCGTCCCATCAGATATGTTCAATACAACCTCCTGTTTCAACCGCGACCCCAATCAAAAGTTGACTAATGTTGTTTACTATGTTATATACTACAGCCTCGGCGATGGCACACTCCTTTTACTTGGGCAGTCGACGCCTATCGCCTTATGCTAGCGATGACAGAAGCGGCGATTGATGAAGAACTACAACTCACACCATTGGACAAAGTCGCCGAAAACTGTCCTCGATGCTTTGGCCCACCACTTCCAATTGAATCGCACCCTTCCGAACAGGATATAGTTGTATGCATGGATGGTAATTTCCAGCATCGATGACACCTAGCTGCAGGCACTAAAGCAGGGAAAGTAGCCACCAAGATGCCGCCACTGTTTATTCCGGACGAGCAAGTGTCACAAATGGAGGCACAACTTAATGGGCAACCTGAGGATGAGTTTGTGAGAAATGCGACAAAATAATCTTCCATACATTTTTCTACCTTAACCTTCCCAAGCTGACGATTGCTCTTTGGTATCCAGCAAGCTTGTGCAGCTCAACACACTGCAGCAAACGATACTCGAGGTAAAGGCCATTGGGGTGGTTGTGACGAGACAGGACTGATGGTGATGGTGTGCCGTCACGACCACTCTCTTTGCTTTGCTAACATTGTGCAAAGTGGCGAAAAGTAAGTATTTTCTCAGTGTTGATTTCTCAATAGATTGAGAACTGACTGCGATATTCAGACTACACTATAGCTACACTTTGATTTCATGGATACTAGACCTGACCCAAACCCATGGACTCACGCCTCGCCGAATCGCCTTCTTGTACAACATTGGATGTATGATGCTCGCCGGAATTGAGAATGTAAGCTTACATTGTGCCCAAACACACGTATTGGTACTAAAAGGACTGTTCAAAAGCGTGGCATGTTTGCAGAAGACCGGGCCAATGGCCGACTCAAATTTGGCACCAGCGTATTCCACGCGTATGTGCATCGATGGTCTTGCCAGCTGCGCTGGAATCCCCGCCTTAATCAAGGTTTTGGCCTTTCCGATGGCGAAGGAAGCGAGAGGGTCTGGTCTGGCCTGGATTCCCTAATACCTCCACTCAGGTACGCAACCGCACAACACCGGGTCAACGCAATTGACATGCGTTCGGCTCATGTCAATTCACGTCTACGTCATGATGCAGGTAGGTGATTCTTACTCTAACATTGTGTCCATACACATTATCGCACTGACATCACCTGTTTGATCTACACAGTCTATCATCTAATAAGAAAGAAAACTGAGGCTAGGAAGCGCCTTGAAGATGCTTCGGAGACCCTTAGGAATCTGTCAACCCCGGGTGATGGGTGCCCAGGACGAGATGCTGCCTATTTCGAGGCCAAGTGGACGTCTCAAAGAACTCGACAGCTAGATGCCATGACTGAGACACAGAAAGCGAAAAGAGACAAAATAGCTCTATTACTCGGTCTGGAGGAGGGCCTTCATGTTACTCTGTTAGTGTAGCGTAGAGCTTACCGTGAGGTCGACTCTTAAGGGACATTATCTGACCAATGAGTTTGGTTAAAGTGCTAGACTCGCGTTCATGGAAGATACTGACAGAAGAGCAAGAACCCAAGCTGAACGTAATGAGCTGCTGGCCCTTCCTCGAACTGTTGCTGAAATTGAAGATTGTATTGATGCTGTTGCAAATCAGCTTGGGGGTGCTGAGTTTCAAAACCTTTTGGGTGCACGAGGTACGTCCCCATCTGTCTGTTTTTGAGACGATTGATGCTCACATGTGTGAATTACCTCCAGCTAATCAAAAAACGGCACTGGTAGCGCTGTCTGTGGCGCGGGGGTGCTTGTATGAAGCAAAAGTGGGTGTAATTGAATCGAGGCTGAGGCGTCATCGCAGCTCAGGTCAGAAACATATGTGCGGGTTGATCCAGACCCAACCTAACGTACATAACCTTTCTGGCCCCAGGAACCCGAGTACAGCAGCAGCACGCACGCCAATGTCGAGACAGATTAAGAGATCTACGGACCAAATACAACACATATGAGCGACGCGTTCAAAAGTATCACACAGATTACCCAACAAGTGAGCGTGTGGAATTGCCAGACTTTGAGACAGTTGAAGCCATGGACACGGATGATCCCTTCTGGGACCGAGGCAAAAACGAGGTACAAGAGGGTGACGAGGCGGAAGCAGCCCGAATTCGTGAAGGCATTCAAGCTTTCTTGGCCCAAAGGTCAGCTAAGGAAGAGCTGCGTCGAATTGCGCGGGAAGCTCGCCAAATGTTGAGTTGGGCAATTGAGTATCATGGTCGCATTATGAGTTTGAAGGACAGTATTGATCGAGGTAAGAGCGTGCTTATGATTACTGTTAGTTATATCTTTGCATGTAGGGTTGATTATTTTAATCATCCCATTGTATTCAGAGCAAGCTCCTGCCGAGAAGACTCGAAAGTCGGCTCTTTACAAGATTGTGGCTCGTCGGGCTTGTAAGTTGTGGAAAAATTGGCGAGATCTCCGAATACAGCTTGTGGATACTTGTCGTGAGTTGCCTGGCTGCATCCGAGTGGATCCAGCCTTAGAACAGGGTTGGAGAACAATTTGGGATTGGGTCAATCATGAATGGGCGCAGTTGACAGTGGAGGTTATGGCGGAGGAGCCTGATTTTTATGAGGAGCGGGTGGACCAAGTTTATGAACTATTGTATGACATGAACAGGGATGAGATATTCCGAGATTAATTTTTCTGTGCCAGAGTGACATTGGTCGATATCATTTTCTTCTCCTTTCTGATTGTATTTCTTATGTACCACGCAAGTCAAGCAATATAATTCATACATTGATGATAGCAACCACGGGCACAATCTTAATAATAGATCCATTGCGCTCTTAAGTGTTCCCCATCACTAAGATCAAGTAAGAAAAGAGAAGATCATGGCTTTCGTTTCACACTGGCAAGCTTAAGATCGATTTCACAATTGAAAAGGTTAAGATTATCAATACCATTCGGCGATGTCAGTACTATAAGTTAGGATGGATCAATTGATATCTTTTCATTCCTTTCAAGATAGAAGTACCTATTCATGACGTAATACAACAACATTATACAAATGAACTAATCGGAATCAGAGGCAGAATCAAGTTCGATGGGTTTCTGATCCCCATACAAACGAGGGTTTTCAGCTACGAGTATGGGGCGGATACATTGGTTAAAGACAGTGAAATGTAGATTGTACTTATTAGCCCACCCTAGTGCCTGGGGTTGGGCAAGTTGGTACCATTCTTCCCATGGCTTAGGAATGGGAAGGGTGGGTGATAGAAGAAGTGACAGAGATAGAAAGTGAAGTCCTTTTTGATTGTAACATAAGAAAATCGGAGGATTATCATTTACAGGTACGTCCAGGGGCAAAGCTGAAAAGGTTTGATTACCAGGACCGTAGACGCAGAACAGCCGCTGGTAGGTGGTTGCAATGAGATACAGCATCTGAGCCGAATTGAGCCAAAGCAAAGGGGTGTCCAAGACGTCATTCCTTTGAGTCCTAATGACCGATATGTGCTCAACAATACCACCATCCCCTCTTTTGCGTGCATGGAAGTGATTTTCGTAGAAAGCTGCTTTTGCCTCTAGCTCAGCAATGAGTTCTTCTCGCACTAAATGCCAGTCATCTTCGGATCGCCCCAAACTGATAGCAATTGCGCGATAACCACAATGACCATCGGCTCGTGGGTTGGAGACTGAAGAAACATGATCACCAAGCCAATGTGGCACGCGAGAGTTCTGTAATTAATCACGTTGTTTCAGGTCAACTCAACTGTCAAGATGAAATACAATGTTTGAAGGATGACGTACACACTTTTTTGGTAACACAGGTGCGGGCAGACCTACAAGGACCGGAGATGGAAGTGGTGTCCGTTTTATTGTGCCTAGTTGACCTACGAATGTTGGCCTTCCCTTGATCTTGAAGTGGAATCTTACGCTTCTTTTTCATTTCCTACACAGACAGGTTGGAATGGTTACTTTGAGGCTGAATGAACTCTGTGATGTAAGTGTCAATTTACCATTGAGGATACATGCCCTGTTTTAGACAGTGGCGTGTTTTCAACCTTTTGAGAGAGCCCTACGGCGATTGGCAGCAAAGATTCCAATTGAAAGCTTTCGTCGCCTTCATCATGATCCGCAATGCTTTCGTCACCTTCATCGTGATCAGCTATAGAAGAGTCCTGTTCGGGGTGTTTGGTGTTTTCGGTGGTGTTGTGAAGGTAGATCTTGGTTGTTGAAGATTAAAGCGACATGACCGTCAGTACCCAGGAATGTGGTGTTTGTTGATAGGAGTGATGGCTGCAGAATCGACTCACCACAAGTTCTTCATTCGCTGTGTGGATGATGGGGAATAGTTCAGGTGAAGGCTGTTATGCAGATTGGGTGTATTGGTCACACGATATTGGTCAGTAAGTACTAAAGCAATGTGACTTGTGTACGCTGTTGCATTCACCAAACAATCGCTGTCAGCAGCAGGCTCCGATTCGTAATCCACCAAAGGATCCAGGGTAGGTGAGATGAGAAGAGTGGCTTCAGCGTCTTGTGGTTCATGCGCCGGAATAGGAGATGCGACAGCGGCGGGTTCCAAAGTACAAACGAGAGTCAAAGCCTGAGTTTGTGGTGGTAAGTATGTTTGAGCGGGTTTCTTGACTCTTTTGCGTGGCTTCTTGAGAGCCAAAGGTAAGTCTTTCTCTGTCGACTGGGTGTGGGCAGGTAAAGATGGGGTGATGGATCGATCGGACACATTATTATACCGAACTACTTCAGGTTGATCCGGATGAGTAGTAGAAACCGGCGCGGGATCCAAAGGATGAGCTACAGTTGAAGAAAGACGTGGTCGTGGTGCTGTTGGTAGGGTGGAGGATTTTTCAACTGGTGATGTGGTAACTGGTGTAGTGGGGTTGGTGAGGTTGGCTGAGACAAGGTTTGAACAACCAAGGATGGGGTCTGTTGTAGTTTGGAGTGTCAACAATTGAATGGGGGAGCCAATGTGAAGGTCTTTCGCAGCTTCGAGTGCTGACGATTTAATGGGCGAGGGTCCGAGGCTTTGATACTTCACAATAACTGCTTCAATCTCAGCAATGGCAGCGGTGCGACAAGTATTGGAAAGTTGAGATAACTGGTGCGATATCTAAAAGATTATAGGAGATGTTAAGTCGATTTTCATTGATAAACAAACAATTTTGGATGAAAGGAGGACACTGACCACAGAAGAGCGTTGTTTGATGACAGTCAATGGCTCGATATATGAATCCGACATAGGCTGCGAAGATGTGTAGTAGTGTCAGATATGAAGTGTAATGCATTTGGAAAAGACGTTCGTACTGGAGATCCAATGGGTTCATGGTTGTGAGTGGGATTTTTGATCTTTATGATCCAGCTCCCAACTGGAGGGGTATTTTCATTGGAGACTAGTGCTTGAAGGTGACTCGGAACGTTTGGAGCAAGAACCTGGGAAGTCGTGAAGGCAAATGGACAGTCGGTTTTGCGAGAACACGAACTGTTACTGGGTTTGAGTCCTGATCGTTGACACTTGTAGCGGATGCTGATGGTTTCTGATAGTTTTTTTTCTGAGGATCGTATGATAATCTTGTATCCGTTGGCAGCAGCATGCTCTTTGAGCATCGTTTGCATGGCGGTGAGGGAGGGTGCGATAAAGTCATGGGGTGGTGGCTGGAGGTTGGTTTGGGTTTAGAAGGTATGCATGTGAGACGAGTGAGTTGATGAGATTGTGAAGGTGGATCGAATTTGGAAATAAAGTAAGAATAAGGTAAGGCCAACTCGTGAAGTTCAAGGGGGTGAATGGGACACCGAGAAGTGTTTGCTCG